AAGCATAGACTTTAGAGGGTCTGGCTTACTAAATAAGAAATATAACAAGTCTTTAAATAAGGAGAAACACACAAGATGACCAAGGTTGTATTGGTTATATTAGCTCATTCATGCTGGAAAAACAGCAGTGTTTTCATATACTTATCCTATCCACAAAGATTGTGATATTTGTTCAGACAACAGCACTATATAAGATGGTAGTAAAGATTTTTTTTTTTTATCAAAAGTCAACATTTTATGAGAGGAACTCAAGGTTACATTTATTTTGAGAACTACTCTGAGATAGAGCAACCGAATTCTTTCTTGCTTATCGCAGGGTACAAAGCCTTTTTTTTTTCCCCCCCCTTTTTGGCCATTAGATGTACTGTGTGTTTATTGACAACAGTGGTGAAGCGAAGTGTCAGTTTTGCTTCCATATAAATGGTCCATATAAATATAATATTTTTTAAACGGACCTTAAGTCAAAGCAACTTTGCTAAACTCACTGATTAATTCTAATGATTTATATGTAAATCCCTTTCAATTTTCTATCTATTCAGTCATGTCAGCTGAGAAAAAGGAGCTTCGTTTTTCATTTTACTGGTTAGGATCTATACTACAACGTTGACATGAATATGTGATGGGACATTATAGTCCACCCGGTTTTGGCAGGAAAGCTTTTGATTCTTCATCAATAACTATGATGTTTGATGTAGATTTTGTTCTAAATACTCTTTGTCAGATTAAGGAAACTTTATTCTTACTTCAAGAGTTATTGTCATAAGTAGACTTTAAATCCTGTTAAATACCTCTTCCCATTTATTAAAATGATCGAATGGCTCCCCACTTCCCCGTTATACTCTTAACATGGTGATTTTCATAGACTGGTTGTCAACATTCAGGCATTTTCTTTGCTCTTGAGTAAATACCTAAGAGTGGAATGGCTGGGTTACATGTTAAGTCTATTTTTACTTTTATAAGAAATCACTGGGCTGTTTTGCAATGTATAAGAGTTCTAATTATTCTACAATCTTCCCAATACTTAGCAATAGCTTTCTTTTAATGTCTTATTTTAGGGACTATTAAATATTTTGTACTTTTTTAATTTGTGTTTCTTTGATGACTAGTGATGCTGAAAATCTTTTCAGAGGCTGATTGGCCATTTCTTTTTTCCCCACAGCTTTATTGAGGTATGACTGACAAAAATTGTGTATATTTAAGGTGTACACTGTGATTTTTGATATGTGTATACATTGTGATATGAGGACCACAATTAAGCTAAGTAACAAAACTATCACTTCACGTAGTTATCTTTTGTATGTGTGGTGATAACCCTTGAGATCCACCTTCTGTGCAACTTTCTAGAATACAGTATATTATGAACTATAGTCACCATGCTCTAGATCTTTTGTATCCGTTAACCAACATCTCCCCACATCTCCCACCTTGTGGTGGCCAACATTCTGTTCTCTGTTACTATGTTTGACTTTTTTAGATTCTACATATAAATGAGGTAATACAGTATTTGTCTTTCTCTGTCTGACTTATTTCATTTAGCATAAAGTCCTCCAGGTTCATCCATGTTTCCACGTCCTTGCAAATAGCAGGATTTCCTTCTTTTTTAAGGCTGAATTTTATATGCATATATAATTATTATATAGATAATGATGATTATACATAAACATGATGCTAGTACATGAACGTATATGTCTATATATACGTCTAGATAGATGATCTCTAACCATCCATCCATCGATGGACACGGGTTGTTTTCATATCTCAACCACTGGGAATAATGCTGCAATGAACATAGGAGGGCAGATATCTCTTTGATATAGTGATTTTACTTCCTTTGGATATATAGCCAGTTGTGAGGTTATTGGATTATATGGTAGTTCTATTTTTAATTTTTCAGAAACCTCCGTAATAGTTCCTATAGTGACCCTACCAATTTACGTTCTCACCAACAATGGATATAAGGTTCTGTTTTCTGTCCATCCTTGCCAATACTTGCTATCTTTTGACTTTTTGATAATAGTCATCCCAACAGATGTGAGGTGATATCTCATTGTGGTTTTGATTTTCATTTCCATGATGATTAATGATGTTGAGCACCTTTCCCTATGCCTGTTTCACTAGCCATTCCTATATCTTTTGTGAAGAATCTGTTTAGGTCTTTTGCTTAAATTTTCCTGCGTTCCTTTTCTTCTTATTGAGTTGTGAGAGTTATTTTTATGTGTTTCAGATAAACAGCTTTTGTCAGATATATTTTTTGTATATATTTTTCCTCAGGTGGTGGCTTGTTTTTCTTTTAAGTGTCATTTGATAGGCAGAAGATTTTAATTGTAATTATCAAAATTTTCTTTATAATTGCTCATGCTGTGTTTCATCTAAGATATTTTGCCTACCTCAAAGTTGCAAAGAATTTCTCCTCTGTTTCTTCTAGAAGTTTTAGAGTTTTGGGTTTTGGATTTAGGTCTATGTTCATTACAAATTAAATTTTATGTGTGATGTAATGTAGAGGTCAAAGTTCATCTTTTTTTCTGTAATCATATCCAGTTTTGAAAACACAATCTTTTACCCATTGAAGACCAACTGACTACATACGTGTAGTCTATCTCTGAACTCTGTACTGTTCCAAGGATCTAGATGTCTTTTTTTTTTTTAAAGATTTTATTTATTTGACAGAGAGAGAGCGAGACAAGGAACACAAGCAGGGGGAGTGGGAGAGGGAGAGGGAGAAGCAGGCTTCCTGCGGAGCAGGGAGCCCAATGCGGGGTTCGATCCCAGGACCCTGAGACCGTGACCTGAGCCGAAGGCAGACGCTTAACGACTGATCCACCCAGGCAGCCCTAGATGTCTTTTTATACTAATGCCACACTGTCTTAATTAATGCAGCTTTGTGATTTAAGTCTTGCAATTTTGTAGTGCAAATCCTCCAACACTTTTCAAAATTACTTTGGTAATTCTAGATTAATTGTAATTCTACAAAAAGTTTAGAATCAGTATAACCACTTTCAGAAAAAAGAAAGCCTAGTGGAATTTTTATTGCAATTCTTTGAATATACAGATAAATTTGAAGAGTGGATATCTTAATGATATTGTCTTTCAACTTGAGTATATTTGTTTATCTGTATTCCTAAGTATTATAACTGTGTGTAATATTTTAAATGGTATATTTAAAATATCATTTTGCAATCATTTGACACTAGTATATAAATACACAACTTATTTTTGTATCCAACCTACCTTGAAACATTGCAAAATTTTAGCATTATCTCTAGCATCCTAGATGACTTGATCTTCCTTTAGAGAAGCCTGACTTTTGCTTCTGACAGATGGCTAGGGCATCAGTATTCCCAAATTATCTTTGTACATTAAGAATTCTTATGATTCAAAGGTGGTCTACAGTTTCTGAAAGGGTGATCAGTTTCTAGTTTGACCTTATTCTTAGGGTGTAGTACTTTGAGGTTCCAATCCAAAGCCCGAAGATCAAGGTTTATCAGAGAAACTTCCCTTTGGCAAGCTGAATTACAATTTTTATTCTCAACTAATTGTTTGCAGGATTTTAATTATACACCTGGACAAAGCAGGTGTTTCTAGGATATAAACAGCTAAAATGCTAGACTTACTTTCCTGGACTTCTTTTTCTTGACCCTGTAATTCTTCCTTGCATTTTTAGCTCTCCTTGTCTTCAAATAAATGCTTTTCACGTTGTCTCAGGTCTGAATTACTCCGTCCACCATTACCAGAAAACTCCAACGTATTTTTTAAATCTCAGCATGAGTAATTCTTCTGCATAGTTACCCTCCAAATTTGTCTTTTTTGAAGGATCATTCGAAAACTTTGAAGAAACACTTATGCTATATACACATTCCTGAACTCTTTAAAAAGACATCTCTAAGTGTGTATCTATTCTCAGTGCTCTACTTTTTGGTACCAAGGGTTACCAAAGAAAGGAAGGACTGAACTGTAGCCTGAACTGTGGCCTTTAAAGTCATGTGTCTTCTCTTAGCTGCATTCCAGTAACCTATGCATAGATTTTATTTTTTCTCACTATCTATGCCTTTTCCATTATTTTTTGTAGAACACTTTTTAAAGCCCATAAGCATGTGTGGAGCACAGAGTTAGTGACCTCAGAGCGAACCCGACTTGGCTTGGCTTCCAACCTCCATTTTGCTTGGGGCAGGAAACTTAATTTCCCAGTTCAAGAAATTAATAGATTTTCTTCCCCAGTCTTTATGTGGTAAATTTACACTCAATTCTAGAACTCTCCTTTTCCTCTTGCTGTCCTCAGGGACTAAGAAAAGCCCGTGATGTTATGCATTATGGAGGAGTCGGAAGGACTATTGTCTAAGTCCTTGCATGTGATGTACCCTGTACCGCCTGCTGATGCCCATCCGTCCCAGGACCCTGAGATCATGACCAGAGTCGAAGGCAGATGCTTAACCGATGGAGCCACGCAGGTGCCCCAACAACCATTGCTACTCTTTACACATATTTGCTGGAAAGGTAGGTTATACACCCTGGGAAGTGAGGTACAAACCCTTTATGGCTTTTACGATCTCCCTACTTCTGAAGCTTGGCCGGAAGTGGGGCAAAAGCAGGAATACTACATTGGCATCCAAACTCTCTCTCTTCCCTTTTTCTTCCCTCAAACTCCTTTACATAGCACAAAAGTGTTTCTACTCTTCATTCAGCATAGAGAAAAATTAGCTTTCATATCAGCAAGCATTCTCCCAAACTCTTTTAATATCATATATACTCATATTTCTTTGAAGAAAAGTAAGCACCTTTTCAAAAAGTCATCCCTTTTAAAATTATGCTTTTAGTTACTTATGTTGCATGTAGACACTCAACAGACTACTTTGGGCTGAGTTAGAATCTGCCATTTCCCTCATGTAATAAACGCCACTGATTTAATGAATGGAAGGCCTGGGGCAGTGAAAAAAGTAGGGAAAAATTCCAGATTTTATTTAAATAACTGGGAAAACATGCATAGCAAGAAAAAAGTGATTGGATTTTAAGAGAAATGATATGGATCCTTCAACACAGAGTACCATAGTTCTTTATAGATTGCCTTGGATAATGTCAATGATTTCACGGTAAACTTGCTGATATACATCTAATCCGAATAAAAAGTCTATATGATTGTAGTAAGAAACAGTTTTGTGGTAAATGTGGTTTGTAATTTCAGGAAGTAGATTTTTCACATCTTCAGGATCGGCCAACAAGTCATTGCCCCCATTCCAAGTTGCTGTTGATACGTTCATGTTCCTCACGTCGTAAAATGGAGAAGTGGACTAAATGTAGAGGGTTTTCACAGAAAATGATACATAAAAGGTGTTCTTTACTTTTCTTTAAATGATGAATTAATACAATTTTAAAATAAGCTGAATCTAAAATAATTACTCCTATAAAAGCAATGAATATTGAAAGAATCATTATTATGATTTTTACTTAGAAATAGATCAGATACAAATCAAAACTAGACCGTTTGCTCTAATTCAGGGTATTCGAACATTCCTCAGAGGGAATTTCAGTTTTATTTATAAGGCATGAAAGTATTTTAATCAAAATTTTCTGTGGCTGTACAACTGCCAATATGTTCATCAATAAATGGTAAACATTGGCAGTTGAAGCCAAATCGGATTTTATTGATTTTGATCTTTCTATTTTACTTTGGAGTTTTACATAAGCTAACCACATTAGGCATGAAGTTTAGCTAAGGCAGAAAAAGATGGTGGAAAAGAATAACTTTGAAGACGACAGACTTGGGTTCTAATACTTCAAGATTTCTGTCATCCTCCTCATACAATTATTACCACCTTCTCATTAACTTTTATCTTTTCCTCATTATGTGGAATGAGGAAAATTCCATTATGTGGAATGAGGGTTTGTCTTATCTTCCCAAATACAGTCAATAGCTTTTGAGGGTCAAGAACCATATTATGCCTTTTATTTTTTATTTAACTAACCACAGAGCTACGCATATTATAAACACAATATTTTTCCTCTTGAGGGAGGATGAATTACTCTACAGCCTGTCAAACTTCTCCAGGCTTATCCAAGGTATTTGTTGTTAAAACATGTAGAAAACCTGGAAAATCCCCTTGGGTTGGATGTGACAATATGGAGCCAAATCATGGCGATCTTCATCTGCTGGTCCTTCTCACTCTGTTATTATACTCTCGGGCTTTACATGAGCCTTTTTCTGTAGCAACATCATCTGAACAGGATCAAGGAGATAGTTTTTAGCTTATACATAATTATGTACCTGATTAAAATGAGCCAAGTTCAGAACAGGACTGCCCCAATCAAAAGCTCTCAATTGGCTAGAATTAAAAAGCTGAAAGAAAAAATTTAAAAGCAAGATTATACTCATCTGTTTGCTACAGCGGAGCTGGGAATGTGAAGTGTGCATTTCATGTACTGCCTGCCCCTTTGTACTGGGCCTGTGGGTATATGTGCAGGGAGACTTCCTTGCTTCTCCCTTCCTTTGCATAGGGCAAGAAATGGAAGAGGGAGGAAGTGGTGGGGGGCAGGGGAATCTACGGAATGTGATTCTATCATCTTCCTATAAATGCACATTTCCCCAAGGCCTTTTACCTTGTTAAAGGGAGCCTTTGTGCTTGGGGCAACATCAGCCTTCCCCAGAAATCCTCAGCTTCATCCACGGAGGTCAAAAGTGAGTGTCTACAGGTGCCTGGGTGGCTCAGTTGGTGGAGCGTCTTGACTCTTGGTTTCAGCTCAGGTCCTGATCTCAGGGTTGTGGGATTGAGCCCTGTGTCAGCTCCACACTCAGCGCAGAGTCTGCTTGGGATTCTCTCTCTCCCTCTCCCTCTGCCCCTCCCCGTGCTCATGCTCTGTCTCTTTCTCTCTAAAACAAATAAATAAATCTTCAACAACAACAACAACAACAACAAAAAGTGTCTACGACTAAAGTGCATTAGGACTGAAATGACACTTCCCTAAACACCTTTGCTCCAAATAACAGTACTCAAGAGCATGATCCAGAAGCCATCCCTTGCTTCACCTTCCATACTTGTAGCCTCACCACCACTAACTCGGTGAGCCTATTAAGTTTAATCTGATTGCATCCATTTTTCCCCTAATAACGTTTTCATTGCAGGAAGGTTCAGACTCTCAGTTTACCCACCTTTTCTGAGACTCTAAATCTGACAGGTCTCCATGCACCCCCCCATTTTATCTCCTCCCAACTCCCCCCAACTCCTAAAACTCTTTCTACCATCTGGAATTCCATCATTAGCCTGTATCTTAAAACCCATCTCTGATGGGCTCCTTTACCTTCCTGCTCTCTGGACAACCTGACTCTCCCAAAGAACACTTCTCCTACAGCTCTTTCCTGCCATAAAACTAGCTAAGGTTATTTATGACCTTAACATTTGTAAAACTTGTTAATTCTGAGGAATTTCCTCACGTTACCTATGAGCAGCACTTGACCTAGGTGTCCATTTCTACCCTTGAGAGCTTTTCTTCACTTAGCTTCTGGAATACTTCATTTCCTGAGCTTCATGTTTCACTCCCTGCTCATTTTTGGTCTCTTTGCTGTATTCATCCAGCCGCTGCCCTCTGACCTCTGAATCTTGCCATGTCTCGTCCCAAAACCCTTGCTCCTCTCCTCCCCACCTGTACTCACTCCGTGTGTTCTCAGCCAGTCTCTTGGCTTTCAATGGCGTCCATATTTAAAATGTTTATCTTCTGTAAGTCTCTTCTAAATACTAGACTCCTATACACAACTGCTTATTCAAATTAATCACTGGGCTGTCTCACACTTAACATCTCCAAAACTGAACATCTTATCTGTCCCTCAAACCTACACCACCACCAAACGTCCCGATCTCCTTTAATGGCAATTGCATCTTTTCCTTGCTTAGGCCAGAAGGTCTGGAGTCATCCAAGACTCTCTTCTCTCTCCTCTCTCAGAATCCATCATTAAATGTCTGTGCCTGCATGTTTACAATACACATGTATACTCAGAACCCAACCCTCTTCACCACCCTTCCTGGGAACACATCCCATGCAGGCCGTCATCATTCTTGTTTGGATTATGGTAGTAAGCTCCTTAATTTATCATTGTTTCCACTTCAGTCTACTCAACATGGCACCCAAAGCATTCCCTTTTTTTTTTTTTCCCCAAGTAAACTCTACCCCAACGTGGAGCTCGAACTCACAACCCTGAGATCAAGAGTCACATGCTCTGCCGACTAAGCCAGCGAGGCAATCCCTAAGTATTCCTTTAGAAACGTAAATCATATCATGTCCCCTCCCTGCTCAAAAACCTGCAGTGGCTACTCACTTCAGCCAGAAAACCAAAGTCCTCACAATGACGTACTTGTTCCTTTCTGGCTCTAGTACATTTCTGCCCCTTTTTCCCTACTCCTTTCTCCCGTAATCACTGACATCACCCTCACTGACCTTTCAGCCATGCCTCTCAGAAATTCTCCTGACTAAGGGGAAGAATGAAGGGGAGTAAATCGGAGGGGGAGATGAACCATGAGAGACGATGGACTCTGAAAAACAAGCTGAGGGTTCTAGAGGGGAGGGGGTGGGGGGATGGGTTAGCCTGGTGATGGGTATTAAAGAGGGCACGTTCTGCGTGGAGTACTGGGTGTAAAAAAAAAAAGAAAAATCAAACAAAAAAAAAAAAAAAAAAAAAAGAAAAGAAAAGAAAAAGAAATGCTCCTGACTGAAGGGCTTTGCACTGGCTATTCTCTCTGTCTGGAATGTTCTTCCTCTAGGTTGTACACATTGCTAACTTTCTTGGCTCCTTTAAATCTTTTCTCAAATGTCACCATCTCATTGAGGCTGGCCTCACCTCTCTATTCAAAAACACAACCCACTACCAAGTATGCCTAATCTCTTTATCTTGCCTTTTCTCCTTTATTTTCCCATAGCTTCTATCCCCTTCTAAAGTTTTAATAATTTACTTATTTGCTATGCTTAACGTTTACTATCTGTATATCTACCACTAGAATGTAAGCTTAAAGAGGACAAGAATATATATTTTGTCCACTGATATATACCCTGAGCATAGAACAGTACAGGGCACATAGTAGGTACTCAATAAATATTGTTTCAATGGATGAATAGATGCAAAGGTTGCTTAGATTTTCCTGGCCTATCACTGGAATGAACTAAATCTAAACCTAAGTTAAAGATTTTTAATAATTTACCTCAAAACAACCACTTAGTAGATTTAAACATTTTTAAATGAGAAAGCTCTCACCAATATCTCAATGATACTGTAAATTCATTAGTGTTTATTAAGTTTAAATAACACTCATAATCATCACCCTGTTGAACTCTCATAATATTTTTGTTAGTTAAATCAAAGCATTACTATTAACTCCATTTTTAAAAGTAAGGAAACTGACTTCATAAAGATTAAATGAGCTTGCTCAGTGTCTCACTGTCAGTGAGGTTCAGAGAAAGGATTCAGTGTCTGATATTTTTATCTCAAGTATACTGTTCTTTCTAAGATATTATCTTGGCTCTCAACATTAAGATGCTATTCACACTGGACTTTTTTCTTCATCAATATTCATGCAACAAATATTCTTGAGTATCTGCTGTTTGCCCAGAGCTCTTGGTCTTGCAAATGTAGAAGTGAAGAAAACTTGCTCATGGTCCTCATGGAGTTCACAATTGAACAGGGGAGAGAGTGTAGTCTAGTGAGAGACTAGGCATTAGGACACCTGTGTTCTAGTCTTAGGTTTTTTTATTTTGTTTGTTTTATTTATTTTTTTTTTTTTAGTCTTAGGTTTTTTTTTAAAGGAATAGCTCTGAATTTTTGGGCAAGTCAAGCGATGAACATGGCCTCAATGATTGCTAGTCTACTATTCCGAATTCATGGTTTCTCATTTGTAAAACAAAATAATTACATTGCTCTGATCATTGCTTAGGGTTAGAAGACCTAATAGGTTATATTAACATATTATAAACTATAAATAATTACACAAATATGTAATTGTTACATTTTATCCTTCTAAATTTATCATCCTATGGCAATGGCATGACTCCCAGAACGACAGAGAGAATAGCCAATGCAAAGCCCTTTAGTCAGGAGCATTTCTTTCTTTTCTTTCCTTTTTTTTTTTTTGATGTAGTGTTCCATGATTCATTGTTTGTGCATAACACCCAGTGCTCCATGCAGAATGTGCCCTCTTTAATACCCATCACCGGGCTAACTCATCCCCCCACCCTCCTCCCCTCTAGAACCCTCAGCTTGTTTTTCAGAGTCCATCCTCTCTCATGGTTCATCTCCCCCTCCGATTTACCCCCCTTCATTCTTCCCCTTAGTCAGGAGCATTTCTGAGAGGCATGGCTGAAAGGTCAGTGAGGGTGATGTCAGTGATTACGGGAGAAAGCAGTAGGGAAAAAGGGGCAGAAATGAGTGGTATGAATAAAGTATAAATAAAATTGTACTAAAATTGTACCAAAATGCACTTGAAGAGTTATACCTGACTCCAGTGTAGCATATTTTGAACAGATGTCCCTGCTGGGTTATGTGACATATACACATCCACACGACTCTGAGGGGTTAAAAAATTATTTTTATACTTGGTTCAATTGGAGAAAGCATAATCTTCGATATTTACTACACTAAATAATTTCAATTAAATTTAAAGTTATTTTTAAGTAAACAATAGAAATAAAAAGATAAAATTATATTTTAATTAAGGACACAAATGTACTTACTAAATGTGTAATTTTTGCATTAATGTAGAAGCTATTACTGGATTTCCAAGTTATGTAGTCTGTCATCCTATACCGAAAACAATCAAAACTCTTAGGACTCTCTCTCTCTCTCTCTCACACACACACACACACACCCCTTTTGCACACTAAAGAACTGAAAGGACTGAAAGAAATTACCAGGGAAAATGGAAAAGAGAAAACAAAAAAACCCTCCAAAAAGCTAAGTACTAAAGACAGTTTTCCTTCAAGTTATTTGCCAATCCCAGAGAGTCTGAAGTTTCACTGTGAGAACTCAGCTATTTCAGGAAAAAAAAAAATCAGCCCAGAAACTGCCAAGAGCAGTTACGAGATTTTAAAAGGAAACCTTTTCCATGATTAACTGGGCTCCTGAAATTCTACACCACTCCCAGTGAAGCAATCAGAAACAGAGTAGCCTTCGTGTCAATCTGTCATCTAAGTTTGTATTGCCTACAAGGTCCCTGGGAACCTCAATCAGTGAACAAGACATATAATGTCAGTGTTATCCTATCAAAATCTCAGCAAGTTATCTTAAGGATATCAACAAACTGCTTCTCAGATGGAGAGGCAGAAGACCCAGGACGGCCAACACAATATTGTAAGGGAAGAACAAAGCTGGAGGACTGACACACACAACTTCAAGATGTACTGTAAACCTACAGTAATCAAGACAGTGTGGTATTGGTGAAAGAATAGACAAACAGACCCAGAGAATGGAACAGAGGGCCCCAAAACAGACCCCTATAAATAGAGTCAACAGATCTTCAACAAAGGAGAAAAGGCAATACAACAGAGAAACAATGGTATCTTCAACAAATGATGCTGGAACAACTAGACAATCACGTGGAAAATAAAAAAAAAAAGAATTGAGACACAGACCTCACACCCTTCACAAGAATTAACTGCAAATAGAACACAGACCTAAATGTCAAACTCAAAACTATGAAACTCCTAGAAGATAACATAGCAGAGAAAATCTAGTTGACTTTGGGTCTAGTGATGACTTTTTAGATAAAACATCAAAGGCACAATCTATGAAAGAAATAACTGACAAGCTGGACTTCATCAAAGTTAAAAACGTCCACTTTGCAAAAGACAGTATCAAGAGAATTAGAAGACAAGCTACAGCCTGGAAGAAAATATTTGCAAAAGACATATCTATGAAGGACTAGTACCCAAAATGTACAAAGAACCCTTCAAAATCAACAATGAGAAAATAAATAACCTGATTTAAAAATGGGCCAAAGACCTTAACAGACACCTCACCAAACAGATATAGAGATAGCAAATGACCATGAAAAGATGCTCTGCATCATATGTCACCAGGGAAATGCAACTTAAAAGAACAATGAGATAGCACTATACAACTATGAAAATGACAAAAGCCCCAAATGTTGACAGCACCAAGTGCTGGTTAGGATGTGGAGGCACAGGAATTCTCATTCACTGCTGGTGGGAATGCAAAATAGTACAACCACTTTGGAAAGCAGTTTGGTGGTCTCTTATAAAACAAAATGTATCCAACTGTTGAATCACAGACCTGTACTTCTGAAACAATGCAACATATTTTAAGAAAAAAGAAAAAGAGGAAGATAGCAGGAGAGGAAGAATGAAGGGGAGTAAGTCAGAGGGGGAGACGAACCATGAGAGATGATGGACTCTGAAAAACAAACTGAGGGTTCTAGAGGGGAGGGCGGTGGGGGGATGGGTTAGCCTGGTGATGGGTATTAAAGAGGGCACATTCTGCATGGAGCACTGGGTGTTATGAACAAACAATGAATTGTGGAACACTACATCAAAAACTAATGATGTAATATATGCTGATTAACATAACAATAAAAAATAATAAAAAAATGTATCCTTATCATACAATCCAGCAATCACATTCCTTGGTATTTACCCAAAGGGGTTGAAAACTCATGTTCATGCAAACTCTGAACATTGATGTTTATAGCATTTTTATTCATAATTGTCAAAACTTGAACCAAAATGTCCTTTAGTAGGTGGATGGATAAACAGTGGTACATCCAGACAATAGAATATTTTTCAGCACTAAACATCAATGAGCTACCAAGCCAGGAAAAGATACGGAGGAACGTTAAATGTATGCTAGTAAATGGAAGAAGGCAATCTGAAAGGGTTGCAAACTGTGTGATTCCAACTACATGACATTCTGGAAAAGGCAAAACTGTGGGAGACAGAAAAAAGATCAGTGGTATCAGTGGTTGCCAGGACTTAAGTGGGGAGGAACGAACAGACAAAGCACAGAGGATTTTTAGGCCGTGAAAATATCCTCTATGATACTATGATGGTAGATCCATGTCATTATACATTTGTTAAAACCCACAGAATGTAGAACACCAGAGTGAACCATACCATAAACTATGGATCTAGGGTACTTATGATGTGTCAATGTAGGTTCATCAGTTGTAACAAAAGTACCACTCTGGTGGTCCTTGCCACACCCAAGGTCATCTAGGTTTTTCACTATGTTATCTTCTAGGATTTCTATAGTTTCACATTTCACATTTAGGTCTTTGATCCAAATTTTAGTTAATTTTGTGAAGGGTATAAAGTTTGTGTCTGGATTCACTTTTTTGCATGTGGATGTCCAGTTGTCCCAACACCATTTGTTGAAGAGACTATTGTTTTTCTATTGCACTGCCTTTTCTCCTTTGTCAAAGATCTGTTGTTGATATTTATAGGGCTCTATTTCTGGGCTCTCTATTCTGTTGCACTGATCTTCTTGTTTCTTCTTTCACTAATCCCACACTGTCTAGATTACTGTAGTTTAATACTAAGTCTTGAAGTTCAATAGTACCAGTCCTCCAACTTTGCTCTTTCCCTTCAATACCATGTTGGTTACTCTGGGTTTTGCTTCTCTCTATAAATGTTAGAAGTCATTTGTCAATATCCTTAAAATAGCTTGCTGGGATTTTGATTAGGATTGCATTGAATCTATGGACTAATTTGGTAAGAATGGAGATCTTGACAACTTCTCTTTCTTTGAATGAGTAAATTGATTCTTGCTGAGAAATTATTAAATGGTACAGGTGCAGGAAACAACCAGTAGTCTAAATGCCACACCTGCTTTTGCCCAATCTGGATTTTTAATTTAATGTGCTTACAAAGTCTTAGAATGAATGCCTACATCTGTAACAACATCAATCCATATGGCCTTGGTAATAGTAGCTTGAGCCCTTAAACAGTTTCCCACTCCAGGAATTTTGATGAATGCCAGAAGCATGTAAGATATTTCACAGGCACTAATGCTAATTACAAAATGGTCAACAAGAAAGGGAAGGAGTGTTAGGAACCAAGATATAAGAGCAGGAGTTGTGAAAAACAAGTGATAACAGACAACTTAAATACAAGAAACTTCCGGAAACTAACACCCAATAGTAAGGGCCAATAAAAAGACCCAGCACAGCACCTGCTCTCTGTTCTTTACAGAGAGCAAGACAAATTTGACTGCAAAATAATCCCCGCATGTTCGCGCTGATTAGTTTCAGAATGTTGGTATAGTCCCAAAACCAGAAAGGCTAAGAATCTAACTATTAGTATATGTGGATAAATCATAAAATGACACACAAGGCATAAAGTAAGTACTATTAAGAGCTGCTTTCTAAAAATTGACAAGATATATTTCAAATTCAACTTGTTCTCACCATATTTATGTTCTCCAGGTCACATCCATATATCATAAACAAGATATCACGGCAAATCTTACCAATGGTCTTCAGTGGACACAGCCTTGAACCAACAAATCTTTTAAATGAGGTATTAGGTAGGAAGTCTTTGTTGCCCAAAAAAGCCTGTAAAACAAATTTACTTTATTCATATTTGAAAGACCAAAAGAAATGGTGCAATGAGTTCGTTATATTTATAATCAAATGCACTGTCTCACATTAGTTTAAAACATTTAAATTAGAGGGGTGCCTCGGTGGCTTAGTCGGTTAGGTGGCTGACTCTTGATTTTGGCTCAAGTCATGATCTCAGGGTCGTGAGATGGAGTCCCGTGTTGGGCTCCACACTCAGACCAGTCTGCTTGTCCCTCTCCCTGCCCCTCCCCCCACTCGTTCCTGCATTCTCTCTCTTTAAAACAAATAATTAAATAAAATCTTTAAAAAAATTTAAACTAAGGACAAAACTTGGAAGCAGGAGATAGAGATAAGTTGACTACCGGATTTTCCTTCACAATGAGATGTCCAAAGGTATTATAAGTAAAATCTTATTTCTTTGTAAAAACAAAAGAAAGAATCCAGTGTCGTTGAAACCAGAAAATTAAATTCATACAAATATAGTCAAGACTTTTTATTTTGAAAGGACAGAATCATTGTCATTTGGATTATCAACTATGTAAAGGAAAGGAATAACATACCTTTATCACTGACTTCCATTTGTATGCCCTTTTAATTAAAGGGCTCTTTGAGTATTTAATAGAAAAAACTGGAGCTAAGGCAAAAAATATTTTGATTCTTTTGGCTATCTTTGGTATTGTGGAAAACGTTATGAAAGCTGAAAGAAAATAAGACAGAAATGAACTATTCTTACACAATTAGTAGCATGTAAGAAATGACATCATGACAAGTAAGAGTAAATTCAATATGCTATGACCACTTAATTGACTCATTCATTTCTTAATTCCCTTATCAAACATTTATCGATCACCCAGTATGAGACATGCATATTGATCACAATAGCATACTGATGATTAATATTAAAAACAATGTCTAGGGCGCCTGGGTGGCTCAGTTGATTAAGCAACTGCCTTCGGCTCAGGTCATGATCCTGGAGTCCCTGGATCGAGTCCCACATCGGGGTCCCTGCTCAGCAGGGAGTCTGCTTCTCTCTCTGACCCTCCCCCCTCTCATGTGCTCTCTCTCTCTCTCTCGCTCTCTCTCAGATAAATAAATAAATAAATAAAATCTTTAAAAAAAACCAAACAAACAATGTCTAGGCCATAAATAATGATAAATTAACACTAAAAGAGTCTTATAACCCCACAGTTGAGAAATCAGAAACAATACTGAACATTTCTATAACTGGCAATGCTGAAAATAAGTTAGTGAGCTTTTCTGATATTTGAGTCTTACACTTTAGGTGAGAGATTCAATACATGTCAAATTGTTTCAATATTTAATTTTGAAACATCCTTGCCTTCTTGTACAGGAGATAACCAAACACTAGTTTGTATTTTATTGTTAGCTTAGAGTTATTAATATGACAAATAGTTTTCCCCTTTATGACATCTTATCAAGCTACATTCTTGCACATCTCTATTTTTATAGCTTTTCTGTTTTCTGAGTTCTAAGAAGGCAAACAACCAAAGAATCATATAACATATTATGAGTCGGTAAACTCTAGCACATAACCCACTTTTTTTTTATTTAATAATTTTCCAAGATTCCTGGTTCCAGATAACTGAACAGCTGGAGAATCCAGACTCCAAGTCATGCACATGGTTAATAAATATCAGAGAAAAGATCTATGGAAAACTGGATTAGACTGTTGTTCAACACACTTTTTTTAAAGCAGGAAGTGGATTATTCCTATAAGAAAATGATCATTTTCAGCCTAGAAAAGACTCAGTGAATACTGGCTGCTATTATAAAATAGTCTTTGTAACTTCCACAGTGGAAAGAGTGGGAGTAAGAAGGTTTACCACACCATGTAAGAGAATTATGTTGGGTTTTAGAGAATTTTTTTCTTTTCTGAAAGTGAATTTGTCACACCTTAGATAGAAGCATTGTTGTGAGCTGACAGAAGTTCTTTTCTAGTCTCTTTAAACATATGAAGACTTTGCTTATCTAAAGTTTAATCTGTCCTAAATGCATAAACATAAATGGCCTTCTCATGTCTCTCCCTCATGAGGTCCTATGCTACACTTAAATGACCATAATACTAAGTATGAAATTTCTATTTGTGGAACAAGTTGTAGTTATGATTTCACTTTGATCCCAAGATGGATATCCAACTTCTGAACACTTGGAAACAAAGACAACTGCCAACAACCTGTTATTACAATGAGTTCTTTGTGACTGGAGAAGATAAGGTAGAAGTAAGGAGGGGGTGAGCTTCCAGGGCCCGGCTGTGGGACGCTCCTCTCTCAGAGCTCTGCTTTGTGTCACTTGTAGCTCGGGGAGCTTGCCCACGTCCTTAGGAGGTGTGTCCGCAAACTCTACAACAGTCATTGTGGACTATAGCGACAATCTTTCTGGCCATACCAATAGTGGTGCCCTGGGAATGACCTATATAGAATATTTCCTCTTGTCCCGTGTGCTTCACGATGAAGTCAATGGAGGCTGGGAGGTCGTATTTTGCCATCTCATCAAAACTACAAAAGAAAAAGGGAAGTTGAAATCCCTTGCTTCTAATGTGATGCTAACACTTGAAGATGATGAATAGGTAAGTGCATGAAACAATTTTCAACTCTCTTTAGGTATTATCAAGAAGTTATGAGGCGCCTGGGTGGCTCAGTTGGTTAAGCATCTTGACTCTTGATTTCGGCTCAGGTTGTGATCTCACGGTTATGAGATCGAGCCCTCATCAAGCTCTGCACTCAGTGTGGAGTCTGCTTGAGCTTCTCTCTCCCTCTCCCTCTGCCCCTCCCCCCAGTCGTACTCTCTCTCTCTCTCAAATAAATAAATAAATCTTAAAAAAATGGAAGTTACATGGCATAATGTATCTACCGAATAAAGACTTATGTGAGAACACAAAGTCAAGAAACTAAAAGAGTCCCATGATAGTCTTATAAAGATGCTGTTTGTTTATTCTACATACAGGGAGATAAACTAATACAGGTTATGGAACAAAACAATGGTTAAAGTTAGGGTGGGTTTAGCCAATAAAGGTTACTACTGAAAAACAAGAAACATGCTTAAGATCAAACAATCACTCTTTATTTTCAAGCAAAAATTGACGTAAATTGTTATGGTCTGTTAAAAGACCTGATTGAGAAAAGATACTTCTATTCTACTTTATTTCATTCAAACACACGAAAAAATTTGACACACTTATAAAATACAATGAAACATTACTTGACGTTGTTTGTACCTGAAGGCCCAGAATTCTTTGGAATTTGTTTTGAGGTACGTGTGTTTCCTGGACCATGTAGTCCCTCTGCTGTTCCCCATCCATACGTCATAACCAGCATCTGCTAGAATGAAGCCCAGGCTGTTGTTGGGAAGATTAGAAATCCAGCTGCTGGCAGATGTAAATAAACCATGTTGCAAGTATACAACAAGCCTCTGAGCTAGAAAAAAAAAATGCAGAGAATTTCTTTTAAATGTTGTATTATCTGCATAAATATCTCATCTGAAATTCAATCTTTCAAAACATGACAGTTTGAAGTTTTAAAAATATTTTTTAATTTTATATTGTATAAGTAGGGTAAATTATTAATGTTTAACCTCATTGTATGTCAGTTGTTTAGCACAGTTTATAAAGAGTTTTTTTCAAATGACCAAGTGTACAATTAGGTTATATCTCACTTAAATATATAAACTTTTACGATCAGAACATTCAAATATCTAATAGTAATGTGAGCACTCATATACATTTTAATTTAATTTAATTTAATTTAATTTAATTTAATTTAATTTAATT